GAATCTACTTGTTTCAACCTCCCAAAGCACTGGGATTACAGGCTGAGCCACCAAGCCCGGCCATAATTAATTAATTAATTTAATTTAATGAAGCCACTTGTATTTAAAAAAGAAAAAAAAACCTTGACAAATAGAGCCGGCAGAGGCAATGAAATGCCTGATAACAAAAGTTATCACAAAAGACTGCAAAAACCACAGTTTGCACAGAGGTCGTTACAACCTTATTCAAAAAAATACTTCTGTGAGGACATCTGCCCAGCAGCTGTCTGTCCAGCCTCGAATGGCACCACCCATGTCATTGATCCCCGTAGCCAAGGATAGTGATCTCAAAACAGTTATGTAATCCTCCTTATTTTTTCTTTAAAAAACCCTTGTCTTTCTTTTTCTAACTACGCACAGAGTTTACTGTGGCTGCGTATTCCCACTGCAATGTTCTGTTCTCAAACAAATATATCATTTTATACTCAAAAGCCTCTATGAGTTTCTTATCTGGGTTGACCCAGGTGTGGCCAATTAAACAGCCCACCCTTCCTGGATGGGTCACATCTTATTCTGGTTAGTGCATTCAGTCTCCCATGTCTGGTAGGCTCTCAAACTTCCTCTATCAGAGGAATCTGAAAAATGTACCTAGTGTGTGTTTAAGGAAGATGTGGGAGAGAAGCGTGATCCCTTAAGAGAAAAGCAGAGTCTAAGTATCGATTTCTCTGAATCTTGCTTCACTGAAAGAGAGATTCTGGGAAAAGAGAGCGTTTACAGGAAACAGGACAGGAGGAAGGGAGAAAGATGCTAGGTGGTGCTGAGTTTTATCACTTTGTATTAAAAGAGTAAACTTATTTGTCAACCCAGTCTCTCAGCACTAATAGAAATCCACAGGAACAGAATGATGCATTTTTTCCATTCAACTCTCCTGTTTTGTATTTTATATTTGCATTTTCTCCATTTCCTTAAATTTTCACGTTAAAGCTCCTGCAATCACATCAGTAGGTCTCCTGCCAAGCACTCCTCTAAGTGTGAACTGTAGTTCTACCAAGCTGAAATGAGATGTGTTTCAAGTTTGCCAAAAAGCCCCAAGTTCATCACTTGGGATATCAAGACTGTTCGGGAGGTGGGACAGGTGTCTTCAGCTCATGTGAATGTGCACAAGCGAGTCCTTCCGAAGGTTGTAAGAGGTTCTCCACCAGGGCACAGTGCACACTGCAGGACAGTGGCACACCTTGGGTCTGACTGTCACAGTGCTCCTTTTCAGAGTCACTCCTTAAGCCCGGGCCCACCTTCTATGTTCTCCTGATCATCCTCTTTAGGCAGTCTTATGGTCTGGGGAGGTCCCAGGGCTTCCCCCAGTGATACATTTTCCCACACAGACAGAATTCATTTAAAATGTTTTCTACTGGTCACATGTCTCTGTGTGGCAAAATAGATGAACGCATCAGACTGCTTTTTCCAAAGGTGACCACAGCATCATGCTGTCCCTATGCCATCCCACACATTCTTCCACCATGTGGCCTGGACACTCCTTCCATCCAAGGATGAAGTCTACGTCCCTGCTTGTGACATGCTTGTCAACAATCGAATGCAGTAGAGGGGCCAGCATGTGACGTCTGAGGCAAGGCTGGAAAAGGTCATGCAGCTTTCAGCTTGTGTGCTGGGCCACCAAGTCAAAGTCCAGCTACCCTGAGGCCACCATCCTGTGTGTGAAAAAGGCACACCACACAGAGAGCTGTGAGCAGCTTTCCTAGTTGGCACCTGCCCAGGAGTGAAGGAGCCTTGGGATGCTCTTGGAGCCCATCTCAGGTTACTTCCCATCTTCAAATCTTCCCAACTGAGGCCCCAGACACTGAGGAGCAAAGACAAGCCATCTCTGCCTTGTCCTCTCCAGATACCCGACCAACAAAATAGAGTGGTTGTTTTATGTTTTAAGCCTGAAATGGTTTATGTGCAAAAATAATCATCACAAAAATGGAGTTATAAAAAGAATAACAAATCCTAGAAACTGCAGAGTTTGAAGAGCCACACCAATGCTCCAGTTACTGTCTCTGGTTTATAGACTTTCTGTGTGATAAACAGAGCTTGGCTGGACTTCCCTCTGCGTCTATTCCCCAGAATAGATCTCACTGAACAATTGCTTCTCTCAGAGGTCAACTTTACGAGAGTCATGTGCTGTAGCCCTTCTTTCATAAATACCTCCTTTCTAGGCACGTAGGCCCCTTCAGGTTTGGAGCTGCGTAGGAAATGCCTTTTGTGGCTGCCACTGGCCCTTTAGAGAACCACCATCCTGCAACCTGAGTCACTCGGCCTTTGCCCAGCTTTTTTTCTAAGTGCTCGCTACTGGCAAAAATAGAACCAGACTGCTCTGTTTTCATAATCCAACCTCCTGCAATGCAGAAGTCCATAACAGCCTTAAGATCATGAGCCACGTTGCTCTCACAGGCTGTTGCTTGCTGTGTGTCAATGTTGTGTGTCCACAGGAGCTGCGTCCTGCGCTGCTTCTGCCTTGGTGACCTACAGAGGGCTCCTCCCGGTGTGAGCTTTGTCATCCACTGGAAGGCACAACTATTTTAAGATCTTCAAGTGTTCAGATTACTGACAGGCAGGTTTCCCGATATGTTTATCAATAACTCACTCTTGTTCTCTAAGAATTAATGTTCTCTTCAGAAAAGCTGATGGATCGTTTTCTGCCCCAAAAACCATGGAAATGTTTGCATTTGTTTCCTTCTGAATTAATAAAATTTCCAACTTCCACCTGACCCATTGGCAGCTTTAGGAATTTTTCTCTTAATCATAATGAGGACTCAAAATGTGTCTACCAGTTTAGTGAGTGTGCTTAATTCAGGTTTCTTTCTTTCTTTTTTTTTTTTTTTGAGTTGGAGTCTCACTCTGTTGCCCAGGTTGGAGTGTAGTGGCATGCTTATGGCCACAGTAGCCTCAACCTGCTGGACTCAGGCAGTCCTTCTGCTTCAACCTTCCAAGTAGCTGGAACTACAGGCACGTGCCACCATGCCCAGTTAATTTTTTGTTTCATTGTAGAGATGAGGTCTCACCAAGTTGCCCAGACTGGTCTCGAACTGGTGGGCTCAGGCAATCCTCTTACCTCAGCCTCCCAAAGTGCTGGGATTATAGGCATGAGCCACCACACACGGCCTAACTCAGGTTTCTTAATGAGTAAATTGGGGCTGAACCAGAGTGTGAATGTCTGCTACTATTCCCTTCTGATGGGTTCACTTAATTTTGTGGAAGGGATTTGTCCATCTTACCTTGTGAACTTATTTTGTCTAAACTCAATTAGAAAGTAATTAACACTGGAGTTCTTCTCTATGAAATTCCATATGGTAATAAAATCATGTCAACATTTTTTTTTTAACTTGAAAAGATGTTCACAATACATTGCTAAGTGAAAAAAGCATATTACAAATAGTATACTTAATACAAGTCCATTTTTATAAGAATATATATATTTAGCAAAGTAAAGGAAAAATGATATTTACTAAAGTATTTACATTGTTTATTTCAACATAGGAGGATGATAGTTGATTTTGCTTAATTGTT